CCACACGGACACATACACACAACAAGGAAAAGGACCGACTTATGGCAGCCTTCCCTTACAGAGACCAGAGCTTTTGTTTCGTTTGGTTTTTGTTTTTTTGTTTGGTTTAAAAAAAAGATTGCGGGTGGTTTCTTAAGCGGGCCCAGGGGATAATGATCTTCTTCGTGGGTTTTTTTTTTTTTTTCAGAAGAATACATTTGGAACCGAGCCGAGTTTGTAACCGTCGGATCTGGGTGATCCGCCGCGGGTGTGGTATGGTGTGGTGTGGTGTGCTGGACCTTTAGGTTTTTGTTGCTAGTGTGCACATAAGTATGCCCTCGCACGGGGGGTGGTGGTGTGGTGTGGTGTGGTGGACCTTTAGGTTTTTTTTGCTAGTGTGCACATAAGTATGCCCTCGCGCGCGGGGGGGGAGAGAGAGAGAGCGTGCCCGTGCGCGCGCGCGCGCGCCCCTCGAGGCAAAAACACGCCCAAACCGGATTGTCAGGCGAGGCTTGCTCGGCGACACAGGCGCGCGAACCCGCTCTTCTTCCCAAACCCGCATCTGGCTGGCGCGGAGGAGCTGCCCTTCGCTCTGATAGGCTGAGCTGGGCCGAGCTGGTGCAGTCCCCGGGACTTTGATAAGACGAGGGGAGGGCAGGCTGCTCGGCTCGGCTCGCCTTTCCGCGGCGGTGGGCGCTTTTGTGCTTCCGAAAAGCGCATAAATAATTTCAAGTTTGACAGGGAGGAGAGACGCAGACCTGGAGAGGCCATAAATGAAATGACGCAGGATCGTCTCTCCAGTCAGCTTTTACGAGAGGTGCCAGACAGTGTCTGTTCACGTCCTTCGCCAGATACGAGGGGCGCCACAACAAAGTTAAGGTCAAGTTAGTGCCTTATCTTGGGTGGCACCGAAATGCGGCTGGGGCTGCTGCGTCGTCTTCTCCTCCGCGCGGAGCGGGCAAAGCCGCCGGACGGGAGCCGGCGCGCCCTCTCCGAAGGCTGGGCGACCCGTCCCCGTTTCTCCTGGAGGCTCTTCGGAGCTGTCACCCGCCTCACCTCGGCAGGCTTCCAAGACGGCAAACGGTAACGTCTGCGCAGGGTATGCTACCCCCCCAGCGCTCGTTTGCAACGAGTGAGGAGCCGGGGAGGGGAAACGGGTGTGTGTGTGTGTGTGTGTGTATGTGTGTGCAGAGATGTATTTATTAAGAGGCGGCCGAATCCCGCAGCGAGTCAGCCGCTTCTTCTAGTTCCGGAGGTCTGAGCCACCCGGAAGACCCCCGCAGCTGCGACCGGTTCCTCCGCTTTATGGGGTGGAAGAAGAGCGGAAGGCTCTTCCTCGGATCGCCCCCGTCGCCCGCCCTGCTTTTTCCCCCACTTCTTCTTTTTCTGGTTAGCAAACGGTAGCCGCGTCCTTGAACTTGAAATGGTGGAACCTAGTTCGCTGAAGCGTAAGTCTTTCAAGCGGCTTGGCTTTGAGCTTCGGGTTACTTTCTGCGCTGAGCTGTCGGTGTCCTGCTTTTTTTTTTTTTTTTTTTTTTTTTTTGGTATGTGTGTGTGTGTGTGTGAGGGGGGAGAGGGAATGGAATGGAGGGGGGGCTCGGTCGAATGAGAAAAAGTCCTGGTTGGAACCGTCTGAGCGAGATTCACACGTCCGGAGATTGCCGGAGGAAGGGTAAACCCAAGAGAACACACCCTGCCGTCGCTATTGCGATTTGGAATACGGGGGCCATTTTAAGCTGCGCCACTGCCGGTGTGGGGAGGTGGGGGCGGGTGGGTCCTTTGACAGCAGAAGCAGAAGCAAAAATTCTGCGCCTTGAAAAGCGGGAGGGGATGCTGCAGTCTCTTGGCCATCATTGCGAGGGAGGGTGCCGGGCAGGTAGATGATGGTGGAATCTCAGGTGTTTGGTGGGTCCAAGGCGCGTCCGAGGTGGACGTTTCCAAGGGAGCAGGAGAGCGGGAGGCTGGACAGCCTTGAGGCGCAAAACAGCTCCCTCCTCGCTCCCTTTTCCTTCTCCAAAGAGGGACAGTGGCTTTGATTTGGCTCTGCTGAAAAGTATTTGTCTCTCTTTCGTTTCTAGAGCAGAATGCAAAGAGGCGAAGTGCAGGGTGTGTGTGTGTGTGTGTGTGTTGCTGCGGAAGCCAGAGGCATCGCCAGTCTGCAATATTTATGTGTTCCAACTAATTTCATAGAGTTACTAAGATATTGTTATGTATACAATTCTGAAAACACTTGTTGGCTCACCTGTTTTGGCATCTGTTGGTAGGTGTGCGGAGCCACAGTAATAGTAATAATTCAATTTATTTGCTGTCCGTATCGCGGTTCGAAGCGACCCTGAGCGGCTTGTGTAATATGTATTATATAATTGTGTAAAGGAATATATTATATAACCGCACATACATGGGCACAATGCTTCACATGCTTATCTGCTTAAACACTTTTTTAACTAAAACATTTTAAATAGACTACGATTAGCCGTGCTAGCAAATAATTTCTGGCATAGAATGTTATACTTGTCTACAGGATCATTTGGCTTTTGTCTTTCCTTATTACAGTTTACAAATTCCCTTCCCTTCCCTCTTTCCTTTCTCCACCATACTGCTAATATTCAACAAAAGAAAACTTCTCATCAATTAACCACCTTTTACAGTGATTTTTTGGGTTGTAATATGGATAATGTCACACATGTTTTGGATTGTTATGGCTAGAATCATCACCGCTGGTTTGCTTTCTAGAGTCTGGTATAATTTGTTTAGTGAGATGTACTTTGGAGAAAAGATGTAGAAATACATTTGGAATTATTTTTCAGTTTGATGCATTTTAAAGATGTGTGTTTAGCAAGGTGTGCTTCATCTGAAAGGCAAAAACAACATCCTGGAGTTAAACTTGACTATGGCAGCTTAATGAAGTTAGGTGGGAAAAGGAACAGCTAGTTGCTTTCTAGAGTGTGATCTAAATTGTTTAATTAGATGTTAGATGTGGAGAGAAGATGTAGAAACACATTTGGAATTATTTTTCAGCTTGGTGTCCTTAAAAAGATGCTTGTTTAAAAAGGTGTCTTTTCCGCTTGAAAGGCAAAGCAACATCCTGGAAGTAATCTTAACTATGGCAGCTTAATCAGGTTAGGTGGGGAAAGAAAGGAAGTGAAACAGATGGGTCTTCTAGAGACATTTGAATTCTGGAATTCAAATTAATTGTGGAATGTGTCTCTCCTTGCTGGGGTTTTCTCCGTGGCTGTGCTCTTTTCTTTCTTTCTTTTTTTCTTTTTTTCTTTTTTCTTTCTTTCTTTCTTTCTTTCTTCTCTTTCTTCTCTTTCTTTCCTTTCTCTTTCTTTCATTTTTTCTTTCCTTCCTTCTTTCCTTCCTTCCTTCCTTCCTTCTTTCCTTCTTTCTTTCCTTCTCTTTCTTTCTTTCTCTTTCTTTCTTTCTTTCCTTTCCTTCCTTTCCTTCCTTTTCTTTCTTTCTTTCTTTCTTTCCTTTCTTTCTTTCTTTCTTTCTTTCTTTCTCTTTCTTTCATTTTTTCTTTCCTTCTTTCTTTCTCTTTCTTTCTTTCTTTCTTTCTTTCTCTTTCTTTCTTTCCTTCTTTCTTTTTCTTTCTTTCTTTTTTTCTTTCTTTCCTTCTTTCCTTCCTTCCTTTCCTTTCCTTCCTTCCTTCCTTTCTTTCCTTTCCTTCCTTCCTTTCTTCCCTGTGCAGCTTCTCCACAGAGGGTGGAGAAGCTGGGGCTGTTTCAAGGGCACGTGACTGAGATGGAAGGGGAACAAAAGGTGCTCCTGCATTCCCTATTGAAAAGCAGACCCGAAGGGAGGAGAATGTCCTACTTCTCCTTCGGATGACCTTGACCGGCCGAACAGCCCCTGGACTCTCGAAAAGGAATCTTCCTTTGCACCCGCCCTTTAAAAAATACCTGAGGCGGAACCCTTTCACCATGCAGATATTCAGGTGTCATCTTTTGTTTCCCCCACTCTCCACCCTTCCTCGGTGGGTTGCCCTGCACCAAAGGGTACGGGAGCGCGCATGTTCCTCGGCGTATGCGAGAGAATAATCGAACAGAAGGCTAGAGAGGAAGGTCCTTCCGCCCGACAGAGATTTGGGGAATCCGTTTCAAAAATAAAAGCGGGAAGAACCATGGGGGGGGGAGTGAGGGCGCCCTAGGCGAAGAGCCCCACTCTGCTCCCAGAACCTTTGCCAGCGAGGCTGTCAGAGGAAGAGCGAGAGCGAGAGAGCAAGAAAGCGAGAGGAGGGGAGGGGAGGGAAGAGCTTAGCAATCAAGCTAGCCTGTCACTTTTAATGAAGATGCCATAATCTGATGTGAGGGGGTTGGTTCGCGGAGCAGGGAGGGGAGGGAAGAATTACCCCGGGGTAACTTTTTGGCCTTACAGGCTCTCTGGCTGCCTGGCCGGGGTCTACTTGTGCTCCTAAAGAGAGAAGGAGAAGAGGGAGGGGGGATGGCAGAGACGGCCTGGTTAGCTTTGTTTGGCATCCCTGGGTAATGCTAACAAGCCCAGGTGACCCTATCTACAGGTCGCCCTCGCTTCTGCTTCCGAAGGAGAGGGGAGGAAGGGCGGAGGGGGGGTGGTGGAAAGCGGGCGAGAGCTAGAAACGGTGGCTTTAGGGCGAGCCGGAACGCGGTTGGACTCCGCGGAGGCCGGAGACTTGGTGTAGTAGAGCTCTTGAAGCGAGGAAGGCAGGAAGACAGGCAGCTGGCCTGGGGGTGGGTGTGGGTGTGGGGGGGGGTGTGTGTGGAGGAGAGGCCGATGTAGATATAAGGGCATTTCTCCATCGCCTTCGTCACGTGACCACAATTACAACCCGCCCCCCCCCCCGGAATCAATCAAGATGAATTGCGCGTCAGCCCGCGGCGGGATTGCTTCCTTCTTCTCCGGGGCGGCTCGTGCCCAAAGCCCGGCGGGCACCTAGATGGGGCTTCGGAAGATCCCAAGAGCTCAGCTCCGTGGCCGGCGCTCCCGCCAGCTTCCCCTCTCCCCAAAGCCGGCGGCGGCGGCGGAGGTGTGAAGAAGCAGCCATGAGTAACTTGGACGACTGCGCCAGCCACGGGGCCCCCGGCGTCTACCTCCCCGCGGCCTATTACCTCTCCCCCGCGGAGTTCTCCGGCAAGCCCCCGTTTTTGTCCCAGCCGCCTCCTTCCTGTCAGACGGCTTTGCCTTACGCCTCCGCCTTGCCCGGCCAGGTGCAACCGGTGGGCGAAGTGCCCGCCGCCTTCCGCGATTACGTGGGAGGAGGCGGGAGCGGCAAATGGGCTTACCGGAGCGCCTACAGCCCGGGTTACTACGAGGAGGTCTTGCACAGCCGGGACTTCCTGCAGCCGCCCGCCAGCAGGAGCGACGCCCTCTTCAAAAGGGATCAGCTTTGCGGCACCCACCCCGCGCCTTTCTGTAGCGCCGTCGGCCGGAATGGCGTTCTCCCGCAGGGCTTCGATCAGTTTTACGAGGCGGCCCGCGACGGCGCCCCTTGCCCGACCGAGGCGGAGCGGGAGAGCAACGGGGACCTCAAGCCTCCGTCGCCGCCGAGGACCGCCGGGGGCCCAAGCCCCCACCTTCCCAGGCCGAAGAAGAAAGCGGGGAACGAAGGCGACGCGGATTCCTCCTCGGGGGAGGCCCGCACTCTGAAAAGCCACCGCTCAGGTAAGGTGGAGGGTGGCTCGGCCCTCAGCTTCCCCTGGCTCAATAGGGGGAAATCGCAGATCGAGAAAAGTGGAGGGAGAGAGAGACAGAGAAAGACAGAGAGAGAGAGAGACACAGAGAGAGAGAGAGACAGAGAAAGACAGAAAGACAGAGACACAGAGAGAGAGACAGAGAGAGAAAGACAAGAGAAAGACAGAGAGACAGAGAAAGACAGAGAGACAAGAGAAAGACAGAGAGAGACAGAGAGAGAGAGAAAGAGAAAGACAGAGAGAGAGACAAGAGAAAGACAGAGAGAGACAGAGAGAGAGAGAGAAAGACAGAGAGAGAGACAAGAGAAAGACAGAGAGAGACAGAGACAGAGAGAGAGAGAGAGTCAGAGAAAGACAGAGAGACAGAGATAGAGACACACATACACACAGAGAGAGAGAGACAGAGAGAGAGAGAGAAAGACAGAGAGAGAGACAAGAGAAAGACAGAGAGACAGAGAGAGAGAGAGAAAGACAGAGAGAGAGACAAGAGAAAGACAGACAGAGACAGAGAGAGAGAGAGAGTCAGAGAAAGACAGAGAGACAGAGATAGAGACACACATACACAGAGAGAGAGAGAGACAGAGAGAGAGAGGGCGGCAGAGAAAAGAGGCAGATGACAACCCATCAGTTCGTCAAGTCTCAGCTTTTTCAGGTGCCATTTTATAAGCACTTTAAAAAAAAAAGCATCCTTTATAACTTCTCCAGCCATAAAGCCTCTTTGGGCTTCGTTTCTTTTTTTTTGGAGGAGAACTTAGAAAGAGATTGGGAAGGAAGGAGCTCTGTGAAGACGCTTCTGGCCCCTTAAAAGCCCCCCAACCCGAAAAAGGAACTCGGTCTTGCTGTTAAAAGGGGAGGGGGGGGCTGTCCGACGGGGCGAAAGGCTGCTTCTGAAGAAAGGAAAGAGTTAGGAAATGGCCTTCGTTTCACCCCGTCCAAATCGCTGTCCATTCAGAAAAGACCGAGCCGAAAGGTCCTCACCTGGGACCAATCCCCATTGAGTTCAGTGGGACTTAAGCCTTAGAAAGCAACGTGATAATGGCGGGAACTTAGGGAAATCTTTCTTCCTCTTTTGCTCTTCCTCCTTTCCTTTCCAAGCCACTACTCCGAAGTTACCCAGAAGGAGGGGCAGAGAAAGGAGACAGTTTTCCAGGGAATAATAGTCGGTCGTGAAGTTTTGGGAATGGGGCCCGTTGCCCTCACTGCCATTCCTCCTCTTTCCTTCTTTTTCTGACCATTCCAGCACTGCCCCAGAGATCCCGGAAAAAGAGGTGTCCTTATTCCAAGTACCAGATTAGAGTCCTGGAACGGGAATTTTTCTTCAGCGTGTACATCAACAAAGAGAAAAGACTCCAGTTGTCCAGAATGTTGAACCTCACAGATCGCCAAGTCAAAATTTGGTTCCAGAATCGAAGGATGAAAGAAAAGAAGCTCAACCGAGACCGCATGCAATATTTCACAGGAAACCCCTTATTTTGAGAGGAGAAGCGGAGAGGGGAGTGGGGAGGAAGGACAGATCTCCCTTTATTATCCAACCAGACATCTGAGTGCAAAAACCCCAGAGGCTAACACGAGGTCCACCCTGAGGACATAAGAAGCTTTTTTTTATTATTATTATTTTGGTCTATAGTACTATTTCTGTGTCTCTTGGTGCTCTCCTGGGATTAATAGAGCAGAACCCTCCTAAAAGCCACTGGGGTAAATCCAGCACTCCATCTTAATGCTGTAGCATTGTCTTTATTCTTTAAATCACCCACAACATTCATTTATTTTATTTTCTCACTGACTTTTCATGGCTGTAACCAGAGAACTCTCATGTGAATCTGACAGTTTTAAAACCAGCGGCTTTAAGCATCCTTGGTTACTCTTTCCTCCTCCTCTGGGCTTCCAGACAGGAATACATTTCTCCCCTTGCGCCACATATAATTGTAAAGGGGATAATGTGCATTGGATCCATAACTTCATGCTGGTTTAGAGAGGGTTGGGAAGTCTGTTGTCATATCAAGGCGTTGGGATGCTGTCTTGTTTTTGTGTCTCAGTGGCTTGCTAGTAAAGCTGAAGCAGTACCTTCCACTTGGATTATCTGCTAAACTGTCCATTTCTGAAGAAGCACTGCTGTGTTCTTTCTGAGCCCACATGAAACTTGAACCGTAGTGCCTGTGGTAGCCATGCCTTCAGAAGGCCCCATTATCTTATATTTTTTTAATGGGGCAAATCCAGAAAGGGGAATGTTTTCAGAACTGAGGGACGAATAGCCAAACATGTGCAAAATCCACGATTACCACTAAACGTTGCAAGTATTTTATCCTAGGATCCTAAATGGACTCATAAAAATACCCAGATTAGACTTCAGCTGTAAAGCCATAAGATGAAATTTCACTATGTCGCGCAATGTTTGGAGAAACTCAGCTGTGGTCTCAGATGCATTTCGCTCTTAGAAACTTCCAGCTCCAAAACTTGAACTTATTCACGGGGCGGGAGAGAGGAACTACATTAAAGAGAGCGATTTTTAAAAGGCATTTCTTCCATATTATTGACATGCGCGGAGACAAACTAATAAAAGAATTGAGAAAAAAATCTCTGCTTTGCTACTAAATTGCTAACACTTATTTCCCCCCCCCTCCTCCCCAAAGGAATTTGGTAGAGGTTCTTCTCTCCATTTTGTTGTGGTGGCCTGTTTAAGCTGTTTACAAAACCTTGAACTGTCTAGACAACACCATAAAAAACCCCGGGGTTTGTAACAACTTAATTAGGCTATATTGTACACCTTGTGCTGGGTGGGAAAAAGAAAGAGATTTCCACAAGTGCAATAAAAGCAGCAAGTGAGAAAACATTTTGACTTTTTTAAAAGAAAGAAAAAAAGAAAGGGAAAAGGAAAAAGAAAAGGCAAAGAAACAGTTTGCATTTTCTTTTGTGTTCATTAAAGGCCAGATTGGAGGAATAAAATACCAGGAAGTGCACAAAGTATGCCTTAAACTAAGAGAATGTAAGAAGACTGGGAGAATAATTTTAATTTTTTAATTTAAACCAAAAAAATTAAGTATATGCCTTTGAACTTCCAAGATGTCAAGGTCATCACCTTTAACCTTTCTGAATAATTAGAAGCCTCAAAGCTTTGCCTCTTATATTCAACTACCACCCACCCTTCTGGGCTTCCCACCCATTCCTCACTTCCTGTTTCCCCCTTCCCTTTTTTTCTGTCTCACACTGGCAAATACATTATTCATTCATAGGTGCATAACAGAAAAGGACTGCGTATCAATTCAAATCAGTGGACCCATCAATCCACTGTATCCATCAATACAGCCCCTCTCTGTATTTATCTAGAATGAAACGTGCAGAATATTTCACCAGTGCGTGTATTATTAAAAGCCTTTTCAATTGCCCTTTAAATAACAATTTTCTTTTTAAAATGTTGTTATAAGGGGTTTTTCTATGTAAATTATTAACTGCAAAAGCATTATTGCTCTCAGTCTAGATAAAACATGCCTTATGAAAAATTGTTTAAAAGGAAGCAACAAGCAAATTGATTCGATCCCCTTAAAATAAATGTGAAAGAATTTTGGATTCCTATGGAACATTGATTACTTTAAAAAAAATGATACTTTGAAATTCAGATACTGCTCTATGTTTCACAGGAAATGTAAATAATTTAAACTGTTGCCTTAAGATACTTGAGGGAAAATTACCTTTACATGATGAAAAATATATATCAGCCCTATTCAGTGTCTATCCATTTTTACAAAGGGGAGTTGCATTTGCATTCCTTAATAAATACTGTAAGAATTTAAAAGAATAATTCTAAATATATTGTACATATATATATACTTATCCTTATGTTCTTATTTAACAAAAGAATGAGAACAAAATGGTCAAATGAAAAAAACAAGAAAACACAGGGATTAAAAACAGAATGCTCCATATGCTATACACATATATTCCACGCGAGGGCGCACTTATATTCCAGAATATATATTTGTCCTGATATTCTGGTATTTCCTCACAATAATAATGCCACTAATAAAATGTATAAGCAACTAGAAGTGAGAAAACATAACAGAATCAAAAAATTATTACAGAGGTAACTCACAAATATAATACAAACAAACTAATTAAAATGTATTTTGTGTCATTCACACATAAAATACAAACACACAACTATATCTCTCTCTGTGTGTATGTGTGTGTGTGTGTATATATATAGTTTGTGACGGGGTAATATGAGTCCTAAAGTGTTTTTTAATGAGATGATAAATTGAACAATTTGGAAAATATGTAATCTTAATTAATGGAAAAATGGTTGGCTGACATCTGTGAGTGCTTCCTTGCTGGTTAAAAAAAAAAAAGAATTATTTACCAGAAAAAAGGTAAACATTTCTTAAATGAATTATTGGAGACCTAAATTTCATTCACAGCAGGTTGAAGAATCACAACAGTTTTTCAAAAGATATCTAAGATGTAATTTGTTTTTTTTCTTCAAGAGACAGAGGAATCTGTCTCTGAAATTGGCCAGTGATTTGTTCAGTGCTAAATTTCTCCAAAGAGGCACTTTTGAAAAATTATGCAGCAAAGGACAAGGATGTCATTTCCCCCACTTTTTCCCTAACAGTCCTAACAACTGAGGGAGAGGCAAAAAAGAAAAAAAAAGAAATAAGAAACTAGATAAAGTCATATTTGAGAAATAGATGCAGGATTCTTTGTTTACCAGATAGATTTTTTAATATTTTTTAAAGTTAAAAGGAAACCCATGATTATTCTGCTTTCCGAAAACAATGAATTTTTAAAATTAGAAAATACATTTCAAAAGACACTCGTGAAAAACTGAAAATCTTGGCACTGGCCTGTTTGAATAAAAAAAAATAAAGAAAACGGAGAATATTCTGAGAATGGACAATACCAAAACCTGTGGTTGCCTTTCCTTATTCAATTAAAGCACAGGCTGTAAACCTTCACGTGAAGTTGACAACAGATTTCTCCCCTGAATCCTTTCTTCCACTGTTTCTGTTATATTTTTAAAATGTAATATTAACTGAAGGATTTTTGCGTTTATAAGTATCTCCTCTGTCGGTCCTCTGCCTATTAAATTGGTTAAATATTTGTAATATTCGCTTTGTCCTTTTGGGGATTTCAAAATATGAGCCATCCTGGTTATGGCTAAATTTGCTAGATTATTATTTCGTTATTTCTCCTCATGATGGCTAAACTCAGCCAGTGAAAAATCTAGTATTTTATTTTGTGGTCTGTCTGTCTATCTTTATCAGTTTTTAAATTATGATGACTATTTCCCCCCTCCCCCAAAGCTACACCGGCTTGAGATTTTAAACATAAGACTTACCCAGTCACTAGACTAGCTTTATAGCTGTATGTCCTGTTTTTTTCCAGGGCTTCTGATTAACAGAAAGACTATATATAAACAGCTATAAGCCAATCCATCTTTCCAGACCCCTTCCCGCTCCCCCCCCTCCTCCAGCCAGGAAAAAGCTTATAGCATTTGATACGGAACTCCAAGCTTCCCAGTCCGCTGTGAAACAAAGGCAAAATATGAATTTCTCTAAGGGGATCCTATGCACCTCCCATCTGTAAAAATTATTTGTGTAACAAAAATCAGGAAGAATTAAGGGGAGCTGTCCAAATATGATCGGGACTTTTACTTGCGAATTTTGGCTTTGCACACAATACTGTAACAATATCTCTTCCCCTCACTGCCTAGAAATATTGTGATTGTTGCCTGTGGTGGAATAGGTGAGGAAGATGGAATAATTTAATTCTCATATTATTAAGAGTGGGGCACTTTGGTGCTGTTCCGGCAGTAAGTTAACGGGGTCTTAATTAAAAGGAAGCCCCCCTAATGCACCCAGGGAGAAATGTAAGCAAATGGATCTGTTTATAAATTCTTCCTACAGGAAAAAAAAATGAAACGAAAAGAAGAAGATCATCTGTATTATGCTTCTGTCTGTTTCTGATAAATTCCAGTCTTTTCATGATATTTAATGATCAAAAGTTCCGCTTTGCGTTTTCACAGTTTGCTGTTTCACCGATTGATGGGATTCTTCCCTTCTGCTCTTTAATAATCAAGGCAAATAAAAGAGAGGAGGGAGAAAAAAAAAACACCAGCAAGAATTCGGGGTGGATGGGAGTGAGATTGGGGAAACCCCGCCCAGGTATAACACATGGCATAAATTGAAGGATTAAAATTAAAATGTTAAGCAACGACATTCCTCCCAGTCTTTACATTCTATTATTTATTCAGACAGAAAAGGGTAGTGTCAACATATATTTTACTGCAAATAATCATGGACGTATAAATGGAGCGTCTAAGGCTTTCACTCTTTTGGAGGAAAAAATATGGAACAGTCCAGAGGAAACCCTTTGCGGTAATGCAGATTGTATATCTCATTTATGGCACAATATTGATTTATTTATTCGGGTTAATTACTACAATTCCAGCTTAATGTGATTTAAAACCTGAGTGGCGTTAA